TCAATTTAAACGTGTTTTAACGAAGTTATAAGCGATTTTAGTTTTATCAAGGTTTTCGATCAAAATATCGATTTTTGAAGGGAAATATAAGTGATCACAAAATAAGCTTATTTTTCAATTTAAACGTGTTTTAACGAAGTTATAAGCGATTTTAGTTTCTTCAAGGTTTCCGACCAAAATATCGATTTTTGAAGGGAAATATAAGTGATCACAAAATAAGCTTATTTTTCAATTTGAACGTGTTTTAACGAAGTTATAAGCGATTTTAGTTTTATCAAGGTTTTCGATCAAAATATCGATTTTTGAAGGGAAATATAAGTGATCACAAAATAAGCTTATTTTTCAATTTGAACGTGTTTTAACGAAGTTATAAACGATTTTAGTTTTATCAAGGATTCCGATCAAAATATCGATTTTTGAAGGGAAATATAAGTGATCACAAAAGGGAAATATAAGTGATCACAAAATAAGCTTATTTTTCAATTTGAACGTGTTTTAACGAAGTTATAAGCGATTTTAGTTTCTTCAAGGTTTCCGACCAAAATATCGATTTTTGAAGGGAAATATAAGTGATCACAAAATAAGCTTATTTTTCAATTTAAACGTGTTTTAACGAAGTTATAAACGATTTTAGTTTTATCAAGGTTTCCGATCAAAATATCGATTTTTGAAGGGAAATATAAGTGATCACAAAAGGGAAATATAAGTGATCACAAAATAAGCTTATTTTTCAATTTGAACGTGTTTTAACGAAGTTATAAGCGATTTTAGTTTCTTCAAGGTTTCCGACCAAAATATCGATTTTTGAAGGGAAATATAAGTGATCACAATATAAGCTTATTTTTCAATTTAAACGTGTTTTAACGAAGTTATTAACGATTTTAGTTTTATCAAGGATTCCGATCAAAATATCGATTTTTGAAGGGAAATATAAGTGATCACAAAATAAGCTTATTTTTCAATTTAAACGTGTTTTAACGAAGTTATAAGCGATTTTAGTTTCTTCAAGGTTTCCGACCAAAATATCGATTTTTGAAGGGAAATACAAGTGATCACAAAATAAGCTTATTTTTCAATTTAAACGTGTTCTAACGAAGTTATAAGCGATTTTAGTTTCTTCAAGGTTTTCGACCAAAATATCGATTTTTGAAGGGAAATACAAGTGATCACAAAATAAGCTTATTTTTCAATTTGAACGTGTTTTAACGAAGTTATAAGCGATTTTAGTTTTATCAAGGTTTCCGACCAAAATATCGATTTTTGAAGGGAAATATAAGTGATCACAAAATAAGCTTATTTTTCAATTTAAACGTGTTTTAACGAAGTTATAAGCGATTTTAGTTTTTTCAATGTTTTCGACCAAAATATCGATTTTTGAAGGGAAAAATAAGTGATCACAAAATAAGCTTATTTTTCAATTTAAACCTGTTTTAACGAAGTTATAAGCGATTTTAGTTTTATCGGTGTTTCCGACCAAAATATCGATTTATGAAGAGTCTAAACTATTGTCTGGACTATACTCTAAACTATAGACTGTACTATAGTCTAAACTATAGACTGGACTACAGTCTAAACTATAGACTGGACTACAGTCTAAACTATAGTCTGGATTATAGTCTAAACTATAGTCTGGACTATAGTCTAAACTATATTCTGGACTATAGTCTAAACTATAGTCTGGACTATAGTCTAAACTATAGTCTGGACTATAGTCTAAACTATAGTCTGGACTATAGTCTAAACTATAGTCTGGACTATAGTCTAAACTATAGTCTGGACTATAGTCGAAACTATAGTCTGGACTATAGTCTAAACTATAGTCTGGACTATAGTCTAAACTATAGTCTGGACTATAGTATAGTCTAAACTATAGTCTGGACTATAGTCTAAACTATAGTCTGGACTATAGTCTAAACTATAGTCTGGACTATAGTCTAAACTATAGTCTGGACTATAGTCTAAACTATAGTCTGGACTATAGTCCAAACTATAGTCTGGACTATAGTCTAAGCTATAGTCTGGACTATAGTCTAAGCTATAGTCTGGACTATAGTCTAAGCTATAGTCTGGACTATAGTCTAAGCTATAGTCTGGACTATAGTCTAAGCTATAGTCTGGACTATAGTCTAAGCTATAGTCTGGACTATAGTCTAAGCTATAGTCTGGACTATAGTCTAAGCTATAGTCTGGACTTTAGTCTAAGCTATAGTCTGGACTATAGTCTAAGCTATAGTCTGGACTATAGTATAGAATATAGTTTAGACTATTGCTCAGACTATAGTTTAAACTATTGTTCAGACTATAGTTTAGACTAAAGTTTAGACTATTGTTCAGACTATATATTGGACTGTATTCCAGACTATAGATTAGACTGTAGTTCGGACTATAGATTGGATTATAGTACAGAATATAGTTTGCACTGTATTCCAGAAAATATATTAGACTATAGACGAGACTATAGATTAGACCATAGTTGAGACTATAGATTATTTTTCTATAAAATTTTAACTTTTTCTAGAAATTTTTCGAAATTTTCACTTTTTCCAGAAATTTTAAAAATTTTAATTTTTGTACAACTTTTTCGAAATTTTCACAGAAAATTTTTGAAATTTTCTCTTTTTATAGAGAATTTAAAATTTTTAATTTAAATTGGAATGGAATAAAAGTAGACTAAAAACGTTTTCCAACAAATACAGAAAATGGTTAGTAAATACTTAAACCGACCTATAAATAAATTAACTTTAATGAATAAATCATCAAATAGTTGCTTGACATAATTTCTTGTCCTTTTCAAAAACTCACGTGTACTTTTCCGGTACAAAACACGTGTCGCTTGTAACTTTTTTTTCTACAATCTTATTTCTTACATTTTATAAAAAAATACCTGTAAATGATACTGTACAAATGCGTGTAAGAGTAAGTACATTTTCATAAAAAAATATACATACACATTTATGTATTTATAAAGTATGTACATATTTGTGTGTGCGAAATTTATAAAATATTATTTGTTTGTCAAAATTATACATTTCCTAAAGCAAATATGAATTTTGTTGTTATTTTATTTGTGACACACGACTTACATTAAATAAATATGTATCAACAGCATCAACTTCATCGTTGTCAACATCAATATCATCATCAGCATAATCTACATTAACATCTTTATTTAGAATTTTCAAAATACGATTGACTGACTGACAGACAGAAAGACGGATAGACTTATGAATGAATGTTTAATAACAAAATCAATAGGAATAGAAAAAATAAATAAAACAGCTTGCATTTCACTAAAGAATGTATGTGTGTATGTTATATCAGTTTTATTTGCCTACATTAGTGTGGTATACAATTTTGATATTGGTAGAATCCAGACTATGGACTAGATTATATACCAGACTATAGTCCAAACTATAGAGTAGACTGTACTCCAGATTATAGACTAGACTATAGTCCTGACTATAGATTATACCGTAGTCCAGACTATAGATTAGACCGTAGACCAGGTTATAGACTAGACTATAGTCCAAACTATAGACTAGACTGTAGTTCAACATAACAACTTGACTGTACTCCAGACTATAGACTAAACTATACTCCAGACTATAGACTTGACTGTACTCCAGGCTATAGATTAGACCGTAGACCACACTATACCCTTGACTATGTACTAGACTATAGTCCAGACTATAGACTAGACTATAGTCCAGATTATAGACTAGACTGTAGTCCAGACTATAGATCAGACTATTGTCCAGACTATAGTCCAGGCTATAATCCAGACTAAAAACTAGAGTATAGTCCAGACTATAGTCTAGACTATAGACCAGACTATAGTCCAGACTATAGACCAGATTATAGTCCAGACTATAAACCAGACTATTGTCCAGACTATAGACCAGACTATAGGCCAGACTATAGGCCAGACTATAGGCCAGACTATAGACCAAACTATATGTCAGGTTATAGAGTATACATCAAAGTTTAGAATAGCCTATAGTCAAGATTATAGACCGCACTATAGACTAGACTGTAGACTAGGCTATAGTCTATATTCTAGACTTGTGACTTTACTGTAATCCAGATATATAGGCTCCTGTGTCAAATGGTAGAAGTTAACATAGAGCTTTACTTTCAAGTGATGTATATTAAACTTAGTTTTAATTGGAAATAAGGGAAACGGGGACCAGTCTAATGCTTGAACAAACTCATGTTAATATATAAATAGAATAACTTGTTTTATTCGTCATGTAAAAATTAATAAACTGCCAAATTCAGGTAAATATAATTCTAAGAAAGACATTTATTTATTGACTTTATTACTTTCCACTCGACCTGTTATATTTCGAATATTTGTTTTAGAATCTTAAACCTTGAGCCTAAACTATGAAATTAATTATTATATGAATGCATTATTATTATATGAATGAATGAATAGACTAGACTATAGTCCAGACTATAGACTAGACTATAGTCCAGACTATAGACTAGACTATAGTCCAGACTATAGACTAGACTATAGTCCAGACTATAGACTAGACTATAGTCCAGACTATAGACTAGACTATAGTCCAGACTATAGACTAGACTATAGTCCAGACTATAGACTAGACTATAGTCCAGACTATAGACTAGACTATAGTCCAGACTATAGACTAGACTATAGTCCAGACTATAGACTAGACTATAGTCCAGACTATAGACTAGACTATAGTCCAGACTATAGACTAGACTATAGTCCAGACTATAGACTAGACTATAGTCCAGACTATAGACTAGACTATAGTCCAGACTATAGACTAGACTATAGTCCAGACTATAGACTAGACCAGATTGTAGACTAGATTATAGGCCAGACATTACACTAGGTGATTTAGGTGTATGCTTAGGTTACTCCTCTATGCTTAGGATTTTTTCTTGCACTTAAGTTTCAAACATTGTTTATACCTAATAATAATTCTTTTGATCATCTCCATTATTATTATTGTATTTCTTTGTAGCATTCAATGTTGTACTTTTTCCATCATTACGAGTTGCCTGTAATTATGCAACAAGCCCAAGTACTCATATTAACACGTAATCAAAATGGTGGCGGCAATGGCCCAGGTGGTGCAAACATTGTTGCCGGCATAATCCAGCAACAACAACAGCAGCCGCAACAACAAGGCCAAGCGAATAGAAATGGTGTTGGAGATGCTGGTCAACAACAACCAGGTACATTTGTGGCAAATCGTATATTCCGCTTAGTACCCTTACAACAACAGCAACAACAACAGGGCGGTGCTGCTGGTCAGCAAGGAGGAGGAGGACTGCAGCAGAATGCTGCACAGGTTGATGGTTTACAAATGCAACCACAACAATTGCCATTTGTTGGTGGTTTATTACAACACTATGCTGGACAAAATGTTGGCGGTGCATTGGGTATGATAAGACGTGCCTTATTTGCCAGAGGTTGGCGTCAACCCATACGTGTACGCATACAAACAGCTGGTAATTTACAGCGTATTAATTTGGGTTCCATACAAATAAATCCCGAAAATTTGGCACGTGTTTCACCAACCCCAACACCTACTACAGCTACAACTACAGCGGCAACAGGTGCAGTCAACACCACTAATACTGAAAGTACTAGAGAATCGGTTACAACAACAACAACTACTACTAGTTCAACAAATGCCACTATGGCTGGTTTAGATAGTTCAACAGCATCCGTCTCGGGCATTATTTTAAATTCATCAGGTGAGTGATTTTTTATTTTGTTAATTCTATGATTTTTATTTTTTCATTTTTTTTTTTTTTTGCAACAATTGGGTTTTTTGTTTTATCGTTGTTTTCAACAATTTACTTTTGTTTGCCTTTCGTTCTTTAACATCGTTTTTTTTTTCTACTTTATTTTATTGCATTTTATATAAAAAAACTTTTTTTTTGTTTTATTTGTTTTTATTGTGTTGCAAATGTTTACACTGTGGTAAACAGAAACAATGAAAATATTTAATAACAACATTGTTGTGGTAATCAACATTGTTTCTCTTGTCCCTTTTTTTGTGCGCCATTGGGGCCTCATCTTCTAAACTTAAATAATTTTAACACAATTTATAGTAAAAGAGTAAAATGTTTCTATTTCTTGTTCATTCATACTTTATATTAAATATATATATAGTTTTTTTAAACAAAACATAACTTTATTAACATCAACATTTTAAATCATCTACTAATACGTTTCATTAAATCATCATATAATTCTGGCATATTTTTATAACTTTCTAATGAATTACTTTTTCATTCAGTTCTTTTTCCTTAATTCGCATTGAGTAGTCAATATACAGAGTTTTCTATGTCTAGACTGGTCTATAGACCGGTATATAGATTTGTCTATAAACCGGTCTATAGGCTAGAACATAGACTGGTGTATGGACTAGTCCATAGATTAGTCTATAAACTAGACCATATACTGGTCTTTAGTCTAGTCCATAGACTGGTCTTTAATCTAGTCCATGGACTGGTCATTAGACTAGTCCATTGACTGGTCATAAACCTGCCCCTAGAAGGTTCTATTGATAAAACCATAGACTGGTCTTTATGCTAGTCCATAGACTGGACTATGGTGTTATCTATAGAGGTTCTATAGATAATACCATAGACTGGTCTGTAGACTAGTCCATAAACTGGTCTTTAAACTAGACCATGGGTCTGTAGACTAGTCCCTATAATTGTCCATAGACTGATCTATATATAAGTCCATAGACTGATCTATAGATTAGTTCTATAGATTAGTCCATAGACTGATTTATTTATTAGTCAATAGACTGATCTATAGATTAGACCATAGACTGATCTATAGAAAAGTCTATATACTGATCTATAGATTGGTCTATAGACTGATCTATAGATTAGTCCATAGACTGATCTATAGGTTAATCCATAGACTGATCTATAGACTAGTCCATAGACTGATCTATTGATTAGTCCATAGACGGATCTATTGATTAGTCCATAGACTAATCTACAGACTAGTCCTTAGACTGGTCTACAGACTAGTACTTAGATTGGTCTACAGACTAGTCCTTAGACTGGTCTATAGATTAGTCCATAGTCTGCCCTATAAAATAGTCCATAGACTAGTCCATAGACTGGTCTACAGACTAGTCCTTAGACTGGTCTACAGACTAGTACTTAGATTGGTCTACAGACTAGTCCATAGACTGGTCTATAGACTAGTCCATAGACTGGTCTATAGACTAGTCCATAGACTGGTCTATAGTCTAATCTATAGACTGGTTAATATACTCTTCCACAGACTGGTTTAAAGATTAGTACTTAGACTCGTCTATAGATTAGCCCATAGATTGGTCTATAATCTAGTCCATATGCTGGTCTGCATACTCCATAGACTGATCTATAGATTAGTCTATAGACTGATCTATAGATTAGTCTATAGACTGATCCATAGATTAGTCCATAGACTGATCTATAGATTAATCTATAGATTAGTCCTTAGACTGGTCTATAGATTAGTCCATAGTCTGCCTTATAAAATGGTCTATAGACTGGTCTACAGGCTAGTCCATAGACTGGTCTATAGGCTGGTTAATATACTGGTCCATAGACTGGTTTATAGATTAGTAATTAGACTCGTCTATAGATTAGCCCATAGATTGGTCTATCATCTAGTCCATATGCTGGTATGCATACTAGTCCATAGGCTCTTCTATACGCTAGTCCATAGGTAGGTCTATAGACTAGTTCATACGCTGGTCAGTGGTCTTGTCCATTGGCTGGTCTAAAGACTAGTCCATAGGCTGGTCTATAGACTTGTCCATAGGCTGGTCTAAAGACTAGTCTATAGGTTGGTCTATAGGCTAGTCCATAGGAGTATAGATTAATCTATATGCAGAATAGTTCATAGTCTTGTCCAATGACTGGTTTATAGACTAGTACAGAGCCTCGTCCATGAAATAGTACAAATACTTGTTTATAGACTAGCCTGCGGACTTGTCAATAGAATGGTACAATGCACGAGTTAATAGATTAGTTGGGGTCTTCGGGAGAATGAATTGCTACAAATAGGGTGCCCTTAGCTAAAGAAGAACTTGCGGGCATTTGTTATACAAACAGTTTATGATATTTTCGGTTTATATAACTGCACTTGAAGTGTTTTAGAAAATGCGAAACTCTTTTAAATATTTCTATTTCATAATTAGTTTTCATATTTTATTTGCAAATATAATTGCAAAATATTAAAAAAAAAATAATGCAAAATATTTAAAATAAATTCAATTAATATTTAAACCGTAAACGTGGAATCTAGTTAGGTGTAGAAAATTTACTATAAATGTCAATAAGGATAACCTTAGATTCCCTGAGATCTTGATAATATAAATAACCTAATTAAACGAACAATTTGTTTCAAATAAACTTAAATAAATTTAATGGCAAATTAATCTAATAACAATCCCATGGAAATCTGTTTATAAACTTAACAATGTGTAAAAAAATTATTATTATTATAATAATGATAATTCAGTGAAACGAAAAACAAAATAATATCAAATCTTTAGCAAATATTTGTAAAATAATGAAATTTTTTTTCGGATTAATTTTATACTTTTTTCTATATGCTGCTGATAGAGAGATATCATTAAAATTGAAGAAGAGAAAAAAAAAAAATAAATCCGTAATGGGGGCAAAAAGAAACATTAAAATATTATTTGTCATAACAACCAAATAAAATATAGTCAAGAATGAGTCTGTTGCGATAATAAGGTAGAAGGGATCAGTTAAACAGCAGGTGCTTTATTTCTATAAAAAAAAAATTAACTTAAAAATCTGAAAACATATTAAACACAAGTGGACAGAAAAATAGGTCTGCACAAACAATGTGAAAATTCAAAAATATCATTACAAGATGTATCACTACATCTCACATATTACTAAGTAAATAACTAGTAATGCTGATGGTAATCAGTGAAAAATATATTAATCTGTTGCAGCAAGTTCTTCAGCAAGTTATTGTGAGAACTTTGAAGAAACTTTCTTATTACAACTAAAAATCTATTATTTTTTAATACATTCAAATGTTTCTTACTTTTAACACACACCAACTCTCCCCCCCCCCCCCCTCCGCTTTTCCCTCACCTGTTAATATCTTTGGCATTTACTTTCAAATCAAAATCGAAATATTAAATTCCACTAAATTAAGTTTCAAGTACATCAAGCAATAAAATATGAATAAAATACAAGTAAATTGTTGTTGTTAAAGTTTTAACTTTTGAAGAGGTTTATTTTATTATTATTATTATTGTTGTTATACTCTCATCTTTTGGATACAAATGTTATTCAAATCTGTTTGTCTGTCTGTCTGCCAGTCTATCTGAATTTTACAACAACTCATCCCCATTTTGTATTGTTTTTCTTTAGTGCGTGTGTGTGTGTGTAAGCGTGTGTATTCTTCCTATAAAAGAAGGCATATTTTAACATTATTAAATTTAACAATATACTTGTTATTCACACAACAATAATGTTTTTTTTTTTTGTTTAAATTAAGGTCGATATGGGTGAATGAATACAAATACGTACTTATGTAGCCAGTATACCTGGAAACATAATTTGAGAACGTTATAAAAGGGGATTAAGGAGAATCAGTTGAGAGGGCCTTAGAGTAAAGGCAATAATCGTCACTTAGTGTATAACGACATAATGAAATAATCGATATGATAATGTTAAGTAATCATGGCAAAATGGGGGGCTTAAAAAAGCAAAGAAAATCTGTAAGTCTATAGTCAATTCTCTCGTTTAGTCTATAGTCCAGTCTGTAGTCTTGTCTATAGTCTAGTCTACAGTCAAGTCTATAGTCTAGTCTATAGTCTAGTCTATAGTCTAGTCTATAGTCTAGTCTACAGTCAAGTCTATAGTCTAGTCTATAGTCTAGTCTATAGTCTAGTCTATAGTCTAGTATAGTCTAGTCTATAGTCTAGTCTATAGTCTAGTCTATAGTCTAGTCTATAGTCTAGTCTATAGTCTAGTCTATAGTATAGTCTATAGTCTAGTCTATAGTCTAGTCTATAGTCTAGTCTATAGTCTAGTCTATAGTCTAGTCTATAGTCTAGTCTATAGTCTAGTCTATAGTCTAGTCTATAGTCTAGTCTATAGTCTAGTCTATAGTCTAGTCTATAGTCTAGTCTATAGTCTAGTCTATAGTCTAGTCTATAGTCTAGTCTATAGTCTAGTCTATAGTCTAGTCTATAGTCTAGTCTATAGTCTAGTCTATAGTCTAGTCTATAGTCTAGTCTATAGTCTAGTCTATAGTCTAGTCTATAGTCTAGTCTATAGTCTAGTCTATAGTCTAGTCTATAGTCTAGTCTATAGTCTAGTCTATAGTCTAGTCTATAGTCTAGTCTATAGTCTAGTCTATAGTCTAGTCTATAGTCTAGTCTATAGTCTAGTCTATAGTCTAGTCTATAGTATAGTCTATAGTATAGTCTATAGTCTAGTCTATAGTCTAGTCTATAGTCTAGTCTATAGTCTAGTCTATAGTCTAGTCTATAGTCTAGTCTATAGTCTAGTCTATAGTCTAGTCTATAGTCTAGTCTATAGTCTAGTCTATAGTCTAGTCTATAGTCTAGTCTATAGTCGTCTATAGTCTAGTCTATAGTCTAGTCTATAGTCTAGTCTATAGTCTAGTCTATAGTCTAGTCTATAGTCTAGTCTATAGTCTAGTCTATAGTCTAGTCTATAGTCTA